TGAAGCATATGATCAAGAGTTGATAAATATTTTGGTTTTGTGGGGAGATTGATCGCATTGGAAAAAGAGACGGTCGTGATCTAATACAGCACTTGCGTTGGTGGCCTCATCTCTATGTCGGCTCGGCTTCAGAAACATATTACTTGGGAACCCCAAATCTTTATTTAACTCATTCACATAACTTCTAGTAGTAATAATCAAATGAAATTTTACAAGGAAAAAGTGATAATTGCAATGCAGTTTTCCCTTGCATTTTTAGATGTTATACACCGAGTAATAAGAAAACCATCTACTACAACCACTAGATTCATAAGATTACCTAATTGTTGAGGACTTCAGGTGTAAAGACTATACAGAAAAGGAAAAAAAAAAGGGGTCTATATATACAGTACTTTCCTATAACAGTATTTAATATAATACGAATATCTATTAGAGTTTCTAATGCTATTACAATTTTTTTTTTTATGTAGTACAATCGAGCTAATCTAGTGGTATGTATTGGTCGAGACTATGATCGATTTTACCATTTCAGCTCGAATATTTTATGTTCTATCTTTGCAAACAACACTTTTTTAAGATAAAATTAGTATTCACAAATGTCGAATTATCGAAAAAACATTTAAAAAAAAAAAATTCAAACATAGCCTAATATTTTTTTTATTTACATTTTCTGTTAAGCACGTAAAATTCCATATTCTAAAGTATAAGTGCGATATTTCTTCCAACGCGTTTTCGATACAATTTTATTATAAGCGTCACATATGCGAGACGAAATTTTCATACAACCTAGGTTATATGACCATCTTTTTTTATAAGAGTAAAATTGAGTTAATTGGATTTATGAATTTATTTTTCTTCTGATATTCATTCATTTTTATTCGAAATGTTTTCTTATTAAGATGCTATATTGTAAGATCGAGGGGGTCAAAATTAGTGGGTTTGAACGGAAAAGGCAGTGGTGCGCAATGTGTGAACTCGAAAAGACTGGTGCCAAAAGTCTAATAACTTAGAGGACATGTTAATTTGATTTTACCAACTAGTAAATATAAACGAATCAGGAGATGTTCCCGAGCAAGCACGAGTGTTGTGTATATTTTTTTGTATTTGAGCCTTTTTGTAATTGCATAACTGCGTTCTTTCGACCTCTCTTATCTTTTATGTATCCTCTTCTCAGACATTTTTATCCGCTACAAAAAAAAAAGTACATTGTATCACTTAAATTATATCACAAAATAGAATAAAACTATTTTAAATTATTTATCTATAAATGAAGCAAGTATATATGGTTTAGTATCAATTGTAATAATTGATGTTGATATTTATGGAATCACTTTAACAAAATTGATATAATTTATATTAGTTTGTATCACTTTAACAAAATTGATACTAAAATATGTTTTTACATCAATTAGATAATGGATATTTTTAATAACATAATTTATAAAACTGATACAAAAACTTACATCAATTACAATTGATGCTAAAACTATATCACAAAACTAAGTGATATTATTTCAAATTACTTACTAAAAAATGATACAAATATATCTAATTTAGTATCAGTTGGTAATAATTGATGTTTTTATTATGTTGTTTGACATCGTTTTGTTAAAACTGATACAAATGTATTTTGTATCATCTAAAAAAACTAACTTATAAATATGAATTTGTATCAACTAAATGACTGATGTAATTACTAATTTGTATAGACATCACTTAAAAAGTAAAACAAAACTTGCATTAATTACAAAAAATGATACTAACTATTATTCAAATTTCGTTTTTTATTAA